TTTCCAGCAGTGAAGTGTAATGTAAAACTAGAGTTCAGCCTAATGAATGCAGCATTCTGTGTTTTCCTTCGCTGTTAGAAAATGAATTTGAATCATGAAGCGCAGGCAGAGGTGAAGGTCAGTTCATGGTCATTTAAGAGCCATTAGTCAGATGTAAATGCTTTCCATCTTCCAGCTGATCTTTTTTTTTTTTTGAAATGTTGCCCAGTTTTAAGTGTGGAAACCAAGTGAGGCGTTTCTCAAAGACAGCTCTTGAGCCAGAGCAGGTACAGAGCACCACTGTACAGGCAGGGTTGAGGCTGACCTCTGCTCTTGACCATGAGGATTCCAAACCCTTGTGGTGACGGCCAGTACAGCTAAGGATGCACAAATGGTAACCCACTAGCAGTTTCCACATCTCATTTGTCTTCCCTGCTATGCAGAAGACCTGCTTAAAATAACAGCATCCCTCAACCACAGTCTGGTTGTGATGGCCTAACCCTGCAGTCACTCAAGCCAGCCTGGTAATTCCGGCACTCCATTCATGGGTTGCTTGCTCATCTCAACAGGGGCATTCCCGTGCATGGCTCCCATGCTGACAGTTGGTGTTTGTTCCTGTCTTGAAGGGTTTTCATCCTTGTGCACGGCCCCAGCTCCATGAAGCTGCTTATGAAGTTCCTGTTGACTTCAGTAGGGTTTGGCATTCCCCGGTCGTTCTTTCCTTCGTGCCTATGTTCATTCAGCATGTGTTCAGCTCTGGTTTCATGCTCAGCTCTCTTCTCTAGCCCTTCATCTACCATTCTTGTCTCCTTAAAAGATGGTTGAGGCACAGAAACAGCACTTTATGTACTCTTCAGAGGGGTTGTTATGTGGTTTCCTGGAGAGTCCAAGCTTGCGTCTAACTTGCTTGTCAGTTTTTTGGTTTTCTTTTTTTTTTTTCTCCTCCTCTCTTTTGAAACTTAAATGCTGAAGGCTCAGCCTCACAGGAAACCATCTTTAACCAAACCACAGCAACAGAATTATCACATACCCCCCTCCCCAAAGCCATCTCAAAGATCACATAGGTGGCACAGTTTCACAGCCCTAAGAATGTCAATGCTCTGCAGTGGGAATGCACAATCTGGGTAGGAAATCCCAAGATGTTCCAGTGTCTCTCCCTCAAAAGGCAAGTGCTCATTAGGCTCATATCAATTCCTCTTACGGTTTTGAGGTAGGTGTTTTTTCTGGGGTGAGGAGAGAAGAAATACTGCTACTACCTTCATCACAGTGAACCTCAAAAGAGCAGGAGTTCTTTTTTAAGGGCGTGTGTGCTGATGAGATCACATGTTAACCACGTTTGACTTGAGTGGACAAAAGTCCAGACACCAGCTGGTACCTTTTTGAAGTTGCCATTTGTTGGCTTCTGTCATCATCCTTTTCTTTGCCATGCCTGATGGCTTTTTATTTTTGCTAAAGATGTAAGCTCACCTAACATCAGTACAGATTCCTTCACTTACTCTAGTGATGCCCTGGTTTGGGAGTGTGCCAGGTGTCCATAGATATGTTCTCTGTTCATCTTTGTCCTCCACAAGCCTTTATGGTTGGATGGGTTTTTCTCTGCTGAAAGGCAGTGCTACCTGTTGGGCATCCTTTTAACATGCTGCCTCTGACTCTAGGTAATGCTGTTATAGGGGCTAATAATGTACTGAGCACAAACAAAAGATCACTCAAAATATCCTTCTCAATAATGGGGGTTTCATATTTGATTGAACTATTTCATTTTAAATACTAATTTTTAACAAAAAAATTGTCTCTGCTGTTAAGTGATAACTCTCCATGGGACCAGGAGAAACAAAATTCTATCTTTTCCCTGTCCCTTAGCAAACAAGAGTTGTGTTGTATTCACTTTTCAGGCTGGTAAAGGGTGATAGTCACTCACGAGCTCCCTTTCATGCTGCAAGGACTCATTTGAACAAAACCCCAAAGAGGTACCGTAGTAAGTTAGCACCAAGTCGGAACTGGAACTTGGAATTTATGTCAAAAATCTCAACCCTGAATTCTCCAGAAGTTAACAAGCATCTGAAGCTGTTCCTTTGTTTCTCGCTCACATTCAGGAATATTTGCACAGAAATTACAACATCCTTATGGAACAGTAACATAAGTTTTCCTGATAATGAGATTTTAAGAAACTGGATTTGTATGACACTCCAGCTCATCCATTGGGAGGCTTTCTTCCTGTGCTGCCACTTTTGATTAATTTGGTCTTCTCAGAATTCTCAATCTGAATTTTCCAACTTCCCTGTAATTTATCCAGCTTTCACCGTCCATTTTCTGATACCCCTTCCTTTATTCTCAAAATCTGTAACAAGTCAGTGGAAGGCCAAATTCTGCTTGTTGTGTTAACCACATAAGAAATTACTTTTTCTACCCTTTTTTAATTAGTCTTTATTTCCTATAGTAAATAATACCTTTCCTATAATCTCTGTAGGTCTGGTCATGATACTTCATTTTTTCTACTGCGCTTAATAAATTACATTTCCATGAAGGAGTGCGTTTCCTCTCCTCCATTCTCTGTTCTGTTGTTTCTCCATACCTTCCTTGAAGCACAACAACCTTCCTCTCATTCCAGGAGATGGGACAGAAGCTGCGTGGGTGTTGCATGGCTGCCTTTCCTACAGATGCCCTGCTGGTGCTTGTCACAGGTGGAATCTCGAATGGGGCAGTGGCTTAGTTTGCCTTCCAAGGGCGGTGATGAGCAGTGATAATCCGTGAGTCCACGGACAGACCTTGCTGACCTGGAGGACGCTTCCCAACGTCAGTCTGTGAGGGCTGGAGCACGTTTGGAGGTGGATGTTCTCTTACACACAGTGACTTCAACCTCCCCTCTCCCTTGTGTCCCCATGGCAGCAGGTGGGAGCTCACCTGTGTCTCACACCTGCTCTGTGGTCTCCACCACAGTTGTCAGTCACTGTCTGCCACAAGCTCCAAAGTCTCATTCTCCCTTCTGCTGGTAAGGAAAAGGACCAAAACAACTGGATTTAACACTTGTGGAGCAAAGAAGCCTAAGTGCTGTGATACATGTAAGGAAAAAGAACACATTCTTTTCTATTTTTCTTTCTCTCATCCTTCCCCTTGGGTGTTTGCAGAATTAATGATTGTTACTGTGTACATCTGTCCGTACTGGTGGCTCATGCCAGAGCGAAAAAGGAAACAGTTTGAAAGTGTGAGGAGCATCCTGAGGCAGGAGAAAGAAGAGATTTGTGTGAGAGGAAAGTGATTTGATGTAGTGAATGTAGCAGCTGTGGTCTGTCTTTTGTTCATGCGATGCTTCAACGCTGTCCTGCGTCTCTAAAGCCTTCACTGCTCTGTCTCTGGGTCTCACAAAGATGGTCTGAACATGATCTCAGATGGTCTGGATCCCGTTGGTGGTTCATACCTCTTCTGTATGTGGTCCCATGTTTTTCAGCATGCAGTCCCTGGTCACAGAGGGTGGACAGGCAGCACCAGGAACCTGTTCAGGAGAGGTGACACAACCCACGTGGCCTCGTGATGGGGCACAGTGGCCACATGACTGCAAGGCAGTGTCTGGCACATGGCAGCTCTGACCGCAGGTACAGAATGCAGTCACTCGATGGGGAGACTGGGGGGAAAACCCAGAAGAATTTAAAAATCTGCTTAAAAGTAAAAAAAAAAAAAAAAAGACTCCTGGCCCTCTGGCTGCATGCTGAACCAGAAAAAACCTGTACACGTAACAGTTCAAGTAACAAGCCATAAAAGAGGCCACATCGTGAGACGAAAGATTTTTTTTCTTTTTTGACGTGAGGTACCAATGATGAAAACTGCCAGAGGATGTCGCAGTTGATGACTTAAGGATGGAATTTCCACATTGCTTCTGTGTCCTCTTGGTTGTGCAGTGACGCCAGCCCTTTGGGGTTACTTGGATGTTGATGGTTTTGTAACAGCTTTTAACGTGCAGGGATTTTATTTTGGACATCAACACTCCTATCTTGGGAGTGGACTTGAGTGACGTTCCATGTTCCTGTCCAGGAAACGTGGGAAATCCTCTCCTTCTCCTGTATAATTGGAGGGGGCTGGGTTAGTGCTCTGAACAAATGAAACTCCCTGCAGTGTTGCCTGGTGTGTTTAGAGATGCTCTTTGGAGGACTTCCAGAGGTGGACTTCATCTTCCAGGAATGTAGAGCTGTATATGACCCTCTGTGTTTACAGTTCCCAGTAATGCTGCTGGGACTTTGCTCCTGATCTCTCTGAGCAGACGTGAGCAGAGCTGCTCAGCAATAGGCAGCAGGGTAATAACACAAGCAGTTGACATTTCTGCATGAGCTTCCTGTGGCTGGTAGTTTGCTTTTTAAAGGTGAACATCTCAAGCCTCCCTCCCGCTCTCCTGATGCGCTATGCGGACGTGTTTAAAGATTTTAAATGAAAAACAAACAACCAACCCACCCTTAGGTTTCCTCAGCCCAAATATCAGTATTTCAGTTCCTGATGTTATTGGTAGTTTCTCAAAAGTCAACACTGAGATACGTCACTTGAAGCAATTCTTCTGATTTCTAGAAGGATTTTTTACCCTATTTAATAAAGATGTAGCATATGTCCTGCTTTAAGTAACGTGGAGGTATTATGGTGTTGAAGTGACTAATGGGATATTCTAGTGCTGCAGTTTCATTCCTGGGCTGGTTTGAAAACCCCTGGTCGAATAAAAGTTAAGCTGTGGTGAGAGCTCCCTATTTCAGCAAGTTTTTGTGACATGAGGAGTTTAAAACCGCAGCGTTGTAGGCAAAGTTTGATAGCTGTGGCAGTAAAACACTTCCTCTGGCCATCGCCCCCCGATCCCGTGATAAATCCGTGTGTCCTGCGTGCGCGCCCGTGCACGGCTGCTTTGCAGAGCTTGTTTGGATAAAAACTGAGGTGTTTGTTGTGATTTCCCGGGCAGCTGCGGGGTCCTCGGGCTGTGTTTAGCGAGCTGAGCTGCTCCGCTTCCTGCGCCGAGCCCTGCGCTGCGGCAGCGCGCCGTGCCTGACGAAATCAGGGAATTTCGGCGAGCCCCACGGGGAAGTGAACGCTCTGTCCTCGCTGTCCCCCGGCGTGTCGCGGTCGAAAGCACCCCGGGCAGAACTGGTGGCGTGAAGTGAGGGCACGTTCAGGGAACTGCAGGGAGCGGCTCCTTCTCTCGAGCGAATAGGTGCCAAAGCCGCTGGATTTCCAGCAGGGAGAATCTCCGGCCGTGGGGTTTTGTGAGCCTGGCACGGCGGTGCCGTCCCTGCGCCTTCTGGAGTGGGGGCTCACCGTGAAGCAAATGCCACGGTGTACAGCTACCAGGTGGTTAACCAGAGGGAATTTCACTTCGCTGCAGAGATGGGAAACCACAATACGTGTGTCTTCCTCCAGGTTATTCAGTGGGCATTCAGAGAAAAAATCCTGGGCGTGGAGGATGTGGGGAACATACTAAAAATTTCAAGTTTAGGTTCCCCTGGTCCATTCAGAGACTTTCTAACAGCTCTGGTGGGTGGGTGGAGAGAGACATGTTGTGCCACGGATATCTTTAAGAGCTCTTCTTTTGTTAGAGATATCAAGATCATACTTGCCCAGAGAGGTGGTGGATGTCTCATTCCTGGCAGTGTTCAAGGCCAGGTTGGATGGGGCTTTGAGCAACCTGGTCTAATGGAAGGTCCATGACAGGGGTGTTTGGAACTAGATGGTCTTTAAGGTCCCTTCCAACCCAAATTATTCTATGATAATCATACTGTAGTCAAGGTATTCTTGTTGTAAAGGCCACTATTTCCACGTGCCCTCACCAAATGATGTGTTTATAGTAAGGCTGTCAAAATTAATTCCTCAGAGAGGTCCCTTTTGGAAGCAGCAATAGGAAACTAGAGTTTTTGGACTCCTTACTTTATGCTGATATTGCCAGAGACCACTCTTACTGAATGGCAAACACTAACATGGTTTCTTCTGCTGAACAGACTAGCTGAAGGTGGCCTGCAAATAAAGAAAATCTAACTGGTGATTTTTCAGGTTTTGGGTTGTTTCTAATAAATGATAGAACTCTTTGCAGGATTTTAAAGAAAAGAAGGCAAGGTAAATGAATGGCCAGAACCCAGCTATTTCTGCTTGCTTTGTACCATAGGCATGTCTGCCCTTTCAGTTGGATTGGCTCTTTTTGGTGTGTTTTAAAGGAATAAGTTGGGTAAAGAGATGTCTGGATCCAGAAGAGCATTACACCACATAATTTCAGTATGTTCTTTAGGTAGTTATGCTGTAATGGTGTTACATGTGCACTGGCAGATAATTTACAGTCATCAAAATGAATTCCCTTTATCTACTGATCTGATTTCTTATCTCTCATATGTCCATTTCCCAGATACAGCTGGAATGAACAGGACTAAAAACAATCATACAAACTCCCAGGCCAAGACGGACTTTCTGTAGGAATCTCCCAGAAGCAAGAAGAGGTACAGAGCTTTGTTCCCTTTCTGTGTGTGCCAGTACAAGAATACGAAAATTGCAGTCCCTGATCCAGGGGAGCCTCTGACAGAGGCCAGTGATGATTAATACAGTGATGACTGTATGTTGGTTCTTTTTCTAATCTTATTTCCCTGAGGATTCCCTGTTGGCTTTTGTCAGCTAGTGGTTTAGGGAATTCCTGAGCCAGCTGCTGTCATCCACATTTGTGCTTAAAAGGCAACAGACATTTCTTCCTTCAGTTCATCTGATAATTTTTGAACCCATTTCTCCTTTTGCCATCTAAAACATCCCATGGCAGTGAATTCCCAAATCTGATTATGCTTTTTTTAAAAGAAATAACTTTGTGGTTTGGGTTTGTCTGGGGCTTTTTCATCACTTTATACTGAATCTGTGCATTATGAAAACCATCAAGTACTAATCCTCCATTCACTGTGTTGCTCACTCCTGATTTGATAAACCCCAGCTATCAGTCATCTTTCTTCCTACGCAAGAAGTTTGGGCTCAGTTAATCTTTCCTTGTGTGAAAACCTTTCTGTATCTCTGTTTGGTTCCTTTTTTTATGTATTTTGTGTGTTGTCTGTCTATAATTTATTAAGAGGTGACCCAAGCTGTACAGTGGTGATGAGAAGTGGATTTATAAGTCAGCACAATGTCTTTGGTTACTCTCTCCAATTCCCAGCTTCTTTTTGTCTTTGTTGTGGCACCTGATCCCTGCCCTGGAATGTTCAGGGAACTTTAAACTAACCTTGGTACAGCCAAGGACGTCCTGTTTCCTGAATGACTCACAAAAGGTCCTCTGCCTGTAAGCACCAGGTCAGACTTTGTGTGGAATGGTGTGCCAATACCTATCAGTTAAGACATAGATTTGTGTTTTTTACAAAAGCTGACTTTGCTGGAGAGGGAGAGGATGGTTTTATGTTGTTATAAGTTACAGTTGTTGGTCCTCTTCAAATCCCACACCTGTTTCATTTTATTCCTCTCTCCCTCCCAAATGATATAACTCTAAGAAATGGAAAGGAAAATCTTCCCTAAAATTGTTTTGGTTTCTTTTCTGATCCCAAAGGAAAACACCCGAGCTGTGCTTCAGAATATCAATAATTCCCAGGATTACAAAAGCAAAATTCTTTTAAGAAGAGGAGCTAATAAGAAAACAGGAAGCTGATCCTGACAGTCTAATCTGTGTTGCATGCAAGGAATTTGATTTCAAAATCCTTCCCAAAATTAGCACTTTCCATCCCTTAAGTCTGTGTTTTTTGCAGTTGAAGAGTTTTGTCGTTGGCTTTACTGGTTTGAGCTACTTTTGGGTTTTTTTGGGAATGTAGATGCATAAAAGAAGCTTTAAAGGTCAGTGATCTATGCTGATACATCGAAACTTTAGGCATCAGGTCTCTTTTCAATTGTACTGGAATGTCCAAATATATGCTAAGAAAGGTAGTTGTTCAAGAAAGCTCCAGAAGGTGGTATTATAAGAAAATTGTAATAAAATTTCAAATGATTGTTGAAGTTTTTAATGAATTTTTAAAAGAAGCTTAGTGAGTTCTGAAGCATTAGTCTTGTTCTGAAGCAGTTGATCTTTTTCTCTTTGGAAAAATTGGAAGGAAAATTTAACTTACTTTTCAGCCTTACCACAAGCCAATTCTGGCTGTCCCAGAGAGATGGTACAGGCAGCATTTATTATGTGGGAAAGGATGCAATACTATTGTAGACCAAACTGAGGTGGAGGAATAGCTGTTTTGTCCAAGGTATTAGTTGGTCTAGTGAAACCCTTGTCCTGAAATAACATCAAAGATGACATCAGACCTTAGTCTGGTGTTGAACTTCCTCTTCTGGAGGACTCTGTTACCTTCCAGCCCCTCTGCTGTGTCTCTGCATGAAGTCCCTTTGTATTTGGTCTGCCATGCAAAGCCAACATTAAATATGCATTGTGTTTTCTTCTGTTTCGCTTGATTTTTATCCTTTTCCTGGAAGATTTTGCCTAGCATTCCTCTCATTTTCTCAAGACAAAATGCCCCCATTTTTTCTGCCTTTTATTTTGATCCCCAGCCCCTTTCATTTACTTTTCTCAGCCCTCACAAGTGTTCTGTTTTCTAGCAGAAGAGACAACCCTGTGGCAGATGTCTCCTGGTCTTGGGTACCTGCTACCTCTACTTATGAAGCCAGAGCACCTGGCTGCAGCCAGAGGTACTCCCCTTAGCTGGGAAGCGGCTGTAGGAGTGTGTCCACAGCACCCTGTCTGTTCTCTGCTCCCAAAGCCACCCTCCACCTCCACAAGGGAATGATGCAGGGGAGCAGGAGGTGAAGCCGGATGTGCAGTTCTCACCAGCGCTGCCAAAGACAGGACTGCTTTCTCGGCCTTTCTTCCACATCAGCCCTTCTACTCCTCATCTTCTTGTGCGTAAATTTAGAGCCTTTCTATGCTGTCATTTTGGCAGCAATGCTGGGCACTCTTATGGCAGCACCAAACCTGACGAGCCAGGGTTACTGGGAAGCTCCAAACCTGGCCTGCACTCTGCTGCTGCAAATCTTCTACATCCCGTGCTAACCCATTTCACCCTTGCTGTGGGCGGTTGAACCCCATCCCTGCTCTGCTGGAGCTGCTGAGCAGTCCCTGGCAGTGGAGGCTTCTTGGAGTCACATTTGGCTGCTGTCACTCCAGTCTCAGCTGTGTTTTAAGGCAGCAGTAGGAGCTTTAAGCACTACAAGTCTCTGCTGTCGAGAGCAGGGCTGCCCTGCTGCTGTGAGTTCGGCATCTGGGAAGAGGAGCCTGAGGAATTGGACCCAGGCATTAAAAATCCATGAACTTTGTTCAGCAGCATCAGGGTTTGTTTTTTTTTTTTGTTACAGATAGGGGGTGGCATAGGGAGCGTAATTTTTTTTTCTTTTCCCCTTCCTAGTTCCAGTTGTTTTGCATTAGTCACTGGTGCTGATTAAAGCCCAACCCAGATTAAATACACTGAGGTGACTCCTTTACCACTGTGTCAAGGATCGAATGACACAATCCCTACCTCTACAATGGGAGGCCATATGTCAGACCTCCCTGAAGTGGTGGTTGGTGGAAAGGCTTTCCAGGAGCCAAGAAAAAAGAACGAAAGGTTAAGCCTGGATGGGTGGAGAAGGGAAGAGGTGGGCACGAAAAGGAACAGAAGAGCTGGCAAAGGGGTTTCACCTTCCTGTAATCATGCATGAAAGCAAAACTTGGACCTGTGTATCTGAAGGCTTTTGGAAGCTGGAAGAACAAAATCTCATGGCTTTTATGATCTCTCTAGTCCTGACCAGTATAATGGGAATGCAAAATTATTGTCTTTTTTGTCCTTGGATTGGAGGATGCGTGGAAGTGATGTGGTTCCCAGACATGGCAGAACATGGAACCAAATGATTTCCAAATTGCAATATTTGAGGAATCAATGAAAATGGGATGAGACACTTGAACGAATTGAAAATACAAGGCCTGGAGATACTTGGAAGGTTTTGAAAAACTGTTTTTGTTTTGGAGAAAGCGAACTTAGCAGAACCAAAACTTTTATTGAAACTTAACCTCAGTTGAACTGTTGACTCTTTTGGGGGAGATGCAGAAAGAAAGAGCTTGTGTGAACCAGAAGGCCAGGGGAAAGAGTGGGCCCATCTGCAGGTCAGGAGAGTCAGATTCAGGTCTCCTTCCAGACAGTCTGTCTGAGCCCCTGTCAGGATCTGCATGGGTAGTGGAAAAACTTTATCAGGACAGAACGGAAGAGGCATCCCTGAACAACCTGTCTCTTAGAGCACTGCCCTGCAGCAGGAAAGATTCCTGCCCTCCCAGCAGAGGTAGACACACACATGCACGTGATTTAATCAGTGTCCAAGTGGACACTGCTTGGAATTTTCCATCAGGGGGAACTAGTGAAATTTGCTGTACTGGAAAGATTGGAGGCAGGCTGCATGGTTTCCTTGCCTTTTACAAGGATGTAGCTGGACTTCCTCAGTCTTCTGCTCCGTTGTCATATTTTATAATACTTTGATGAAGTCCTGTGGCTTGCTGTCCAATTTTTTCATTATTGTTATTTTTTCCCCCTGTTTTTCTTGATACACAATTTCCAAAGCACGGTGCAGTACTTCAGCTGTGCTTCCATTAACCCCACGTGGAGCAGAGAGATTTCTTCACATCCAGCTGACAGCTCTTCTCTTTATCCCCTGCACTTTTGTGTCTGGCTTATTTGCAGCAGCCTGTGGCTCAATCCAGCCTCTGATTCTTTTTGAGGACTTGGCCCTGATGTGATTCCTTGACACGAGTTTGTGCAGTTCGTTGTCCTCAAACTTGGCATTTGTACTTGCTGAACTGCCGGCATTTCCCAAAACGTTTGTTTGCCAAAGCCATTCTGATTCCTTTCATCTGTGCACTGGCACCTTGTTTTCATTTGGGATCTGTATGTGCATTTAGTACATTTTCTCTGTCCATCACCCAAGCAGTAATGAAAACATCTCATTGTTAGGTTCAGGATCAATCTTTGAGGAGCCTTGCTGGTATGCTCTCACAGACTGGTTTTTCACCCTCAAAGATAATGTTTTTCAGAGTTTATTTACTAAAATGTCATGCGAAAAAGGCAATTGAAGCTCTCTTTCACAACATTTATTGTTTTTCTTCTGTCCACAAGAGCTGTTGTTACCCTGAAAAAGGAGGAAAGAGTTGGCAATTTGACCATGAGTAGCAGCCAACATAAATTTTTCAAGCATAAATCACCTCCTTACTGTCAGGTACCTAAAAATCATCTGCTTGTTCTTTTGAAGGGAGATTAGCTTGGTTTCATTTTTAAGATGTTTGTCCCTTCTGGACTTCTGGAGTTTTATTCATGACTTTCAAAACAAGATTGAATCTCTTTGGGAATTCAAAGAATTCAACTGATTTTTTAATTGTAAACTTTTTGATGATTAGCAGCAACCCAGTTACTTTGAAAAATTTAATGTATCTCACAAATCCCTAGTTTAAGTTCACCGTCCCTTATTATCACATTGT